TGCTATTAAAAACATGAAAGTTGATTTTATTAATACAACATATATATAACCACCTCTTGTGCTTCGAAAAATTGCCGGTGAGTCCACAACTGGAAAACGAGATACGCCACGTAGGCAACAAGCATGATAATGCAACTGGCCCTAGACAAGTTAAGTGTCGTGGCCCCAGTTATTTCCGAAGACTTCCCGGATAATTTGTACATCAGAGGTAACACATGGCACATTAGTCCCAGCAGCAAGAGGAGCGAGTTGATGTCGGCTTGTTTCTAGTAATATTCGAGCCCACATTACACATAATCAATTACTAAATTACACGAAAAAAAAATTAAATTGAAAATTCAGATTGAAAATATCGGAACTTAGAGAGTGTTTGTTTATAAATTTTATCAATTCATATTCAATTAACACTCATAATTTAACTCAACATTAACCAATTCTCACTATCCTCAATATTATCATGAATATAATTATTAAATAATACCAATGAATCATTCTTATATATCATATTAACTTTAATTTACTATGCGTACACTCACATAATTTTAACTAACCATCACTTAACATCATCTCTCTCATACTTTACATCAAATCAACTATAATTATTTTATTTTAAATATTATTTTCATACATAATCAAAATCATACTAACAACCATACTGATTTTGTTATGTTTGTTCTTACTCAGTTGATCTTCCGGCCCACATTTACACATAATCAATTACTAAATAACACAAAAAAAATTCAAAAAAAAATAAAAAATCAGATTGAATAGGTAATTAACATTTTGTTCGTACTTACTCGGTCGAATTTTTGCTCTTTCGACATATTTGCAATGCCGCCGCACAAGAGGGAGGATCCAAGGACTAACAGAAGGTTTGAAAGTATGGAGCCCAATAGAGAATACTTCACAACATCAACCTTTTGCTGCAAGAGTGCTAATATAGCTATTATCAGCTCTGTTGCATTTCCACATGTTGCATTTAGGAGCCCTCCAACTGCAACAAAAATGGCGAAAAAAAAAAGGTGAAACAAACATATGCTACGATTGTTATAACATTTTTTGGATTTTTGCCGGACAATTTGTTGGATGGAAATACAATTGAATACAATTTTTTAACTCAAACTTTAATTCAAATTTAATTCAACTTTAAACTTTCTCAATATTATCAACATAATTAAATAATGAAACTATCACTACCACACAATTTCCAACAAAATTAATTATTTATCCACTTAACTATCAATCATTTATTAACATTATTTTACTATTTTTATATCGCATCAATATTAATACATTTTAATTCATATTGACTCACAAACTCAAATCAAATCCGAACTTCCACTCACTCTATTTTCTTTCAATATTAACTCACTTTATCCAATAATTTAAATCAAATAAAAAAACCTTACTTCCAATTAAAAATTTTCCTAATGAATATTTATTATTTTGTGCAACTTCAATATTATATTAATTTATCCAACAAATTAATGTACTTTGAGCTTTTTAATTTGTAATTTTCATTATTATGTTGTGTGATTTCAATAACTATTAATTTATCAAACGTAGTATTAATTTATCCATACTTTCAGCTTATTTAATGTTGACTTTTTTAATCGGTTCAGGTGTCGCGTAGAGATGTGTACGATACTGCATGGCTGACACGTGAGACATTCTGAATTGTTATGGAACCTTATAATAATGTTTGACTTTGTCACTAAATTCTAAAAAAGACTTTAGTTATAATACGGTAATTAATTATTAGTAAATTGTTAATGCTGGTATAACAAAAATTAGAAAACAATATTTAAAAAATGAATACAGATTTCTTAGTTTAATTGGTATGGGATAAAACAACTTAATAAATAGGGAAAAAAATGAACAAAATATACAAGATTAAGAAGTAGATTTAGATAATTAACTACCTGTTGGCCCTGTGTAGAAAGCAATTTGCCTGCATTGAAGCAGATTTATAACATAAATTAATAATTAATAACTCAGCAATAAGTATATATACTATGTAAAAAGCAATTAGTCTAAGTATTATTTTTCTTACTCAGTGAGAAAACTGATTCGTTCTGCCAGCGGCGTGAGCCCGAGCAAACTCAAAGCAAAAACCCATGGCTGAAAATTGAAATTACACAAATTTTTAATAGCATTAATAATAAAAAAAAATATATAAATCAACTTAAATCATGAGATTAATTAATCAACGTTAATCTCCTAGCAAATGCAAAACAGACGTACTATGGTGACTTAACCATTACCCAGACATACTCTTCTTACAAATTTATATACTATACTTTATTTACAAAAAAGTTACTTTAAAAATCAACCTAGACAAAAGTACAATATCTATATCTGTATAAATATCAATTTATGGTCAAATATTATGATGAGTCGACCCATCTAACTTTTACACCATCTCACGAATATGTGAATTCAAAATCATTTTCAAAAATTTCATCCCATTCAAAAAAATGAAACACACACACAAACTCACACTCCCGAAACATCGACACTCACCAGAAACGAGAGCTTTATTTTTGTTGAGATACTATAATAGGTGGACCCGCCTAATACTTTAGACCATCTTACACAATAACAAGTTAATCCAAAAATCATTTTTCCAGTAAAATTTCATCTCATTAGCAAAAAAGAAAAAAAAAACACACACACACACACTCACACTCGCGAAATCTCGATGCTCGGCAACAATGGCGGCTGGAATCGCCAGGAACAGAAATGAGAGCTTTGTCCCGACCAAAACCTCCTGCAAATTACCCAAAAACAGTCTCAAATACCCGACCCGAACCCGTGAAACGAGCGAGAGATCCGACTTTTTGCGAAGGGAAGAAGACGACAGGTTGTGCGCCGTGCGACCGTGCCTCGTCTCCTTGCTCAGAGCCTTAGCGTTGCCGTTTTCCAGCAGCCACGTGGCCTCTTGGGACGACGCCATTTTTTCTTCTCTGTTTTTGATTTTGGGTTTAATTAATTTCAGGTTTTTTTTTTTNTTTTTTTTTTTGTGCGTTTGGGAGAAGAAAATCAATATATCCCCGAACAAAATTGATGAGCTAATTGATGATGGCAGAGGCAAATCGGCAGAAAATAGAGTGAGTTTATGTGTGTGTGTGGGTGTGCGTGGGTGTACGATTGGGAATTTTCGAGGAAGCTTCAGAGTTTTGGTTGTTTTTGGAGGTAGTGGTGAGTGATTACCTAGGTGTATGTAATATGCATACATCTTCCTTTTTTGAAACGGCAAAAGTTGGCTTATGTGTACGTTTCTCGTGATTGTTCTTCGCTTCCCTCTTTTGACATTTCACAATAATAATATGACACAAATATTTGTATTAGGCTGTTTAATCGTTAGACTGAAAAATATCGTATTTTTGTTTTGTGTTGCTATTAAGTTGTCTAATTTTAAGGTTGTTATATGTCACGTAATTATGCATATTGTTTGTCGATATGAATTAACGTTAAAGTAATTCGTAATTCTCATGTCAATATATATATTGTATGTCAATTTGAATTAACGTTAAGTAATTCGTAATTCGCATGTTATTATGCACAATATTGTTTGTCAATCTGAATTAACGGTTAAGTACTTCATAATAAGGCTGACGTAGAATATAATTAGTGTCCGCACATCATCCTAACGATCAGATCGGCATTCTGCGTTCCCCAGAGCCACATCGGTGCTCGTCTCTCATGAACAAAATCCCGACATCGGCACTGGAATTATGTGAAGCTTCTTTCGTGCTGATCTTATAACCGACAGGGCTTTCTTGATGCTGATGTCACCATCCAGTGTGAAAAGATTTGCTGCCCACGAATCCGGCACATGTCACTAAACATGTTACATATGTATGAGCAGCTGACCTCTCAGACACACGCCAGTTCATCAAGAAGTTGTGATAATTTTTCACTGTTTACCTAGTTTAAATTGCAATAACGTCCTTATGATTAGATTGGTCGAGAAAAGAAAAATTAATGAACCAACTAATGAAAATTCTTTGCTAACTCGGGAAAAAATAGAATTGGGCACAGAAAAAGGAGAAAATTACACTACTTACTATCCAAAACAATTTTATTTGCACATTTACTAATCATTTACTTTTTTTTTGTAATTATACTAAAAATTAAATTTTCTCTCACCATTTTTCTCTCTCTCCTTTTACTAATTATTTTTCCAGTGATATTTTCTCTCTCTCATTTTTTTTCAACGATCCAACTTCCTCCATGGAGACCCCACCACTGTCCACCACTCCCCCAATTCCCTCCACCAGCCCCCAAAAGCCAGCGGCCTACACGAACTCCGGCCACTCTCGCCTCATTTTTTTTCCCTTCGCCGTCTCTCCAGGAGCCTCCTCCGCGATCAACCTTTCTCTATTCCATTTTTTTTTGCGAACTGGTGATGACAGTATATGTTGCGTGTATAGGCCGGATATGTTTGATATATTCTGTATATATTATGTATATACTAATCCGATATATATTATGTATATATCTTCTGTATATATTTTCTGTATATATTTTGTATATATTACGAAAAGATCGTGTATTTTCTGTTTCAGTACAAGAAAATATTAGAGTCAATTTGAGTATATGATCGCGTAATTTCAAAATCTGATCCTTTCCTTTTTTTCAAAAACAGATCATGTATAATATAACATCAAGATGATCGAATTTACAGACTTTCCTTTTTTTCTTCAAAACAATGAGTTAATGGCGTGATTATAAAGAGTGTGTTATTTTGGTAACTGATTCATTTTATTGTTTCATATTAAATGTAGTTTTTTTTTTAAGTACATATACAAATAAAATCCTTCTCCTTGTAGGATTGCAATTTCTTTATATCTTGTGGTAAATAAAAAATTTGGCCCAGAAAAAGGTTACACAAGTCTTGGGCTATAGAAATTAATGAACCAACTGGCGAAGGCCTTAAACTACATGGGCCGATGCTCATTTCCCTCATCAACCCGTTTCTAAACTGGCTAACTCCACCGGAAGCCCAAATCGTTGTGTCCTTTTGCGTTAAACGTTAGTAACAGAACAAATGTCCGAAATTTTGGGGAGCCTGATCAGGCACACACACATCACACACCGAGCGTGTTGAGCGCAGAAAGAGGAAGAATCAAATGATCGGGCCGGGTCGACCCATATTCGTGCTGTTCGGATCCTCCATAGTCCAGCAGTGCTTCGAGGTCGGAGGATGGGGAGCTGTTCTCGCCGACCTTTATGACCGCAAGGTAAGCTAATTTAGGCAGCCGCCATTTTTGCCCTCTTTGTTTGGAGCTGTAATATACTGAAATACGAAGAAATCGAGAAAGTAGAAGCAAAGTTATCGGGAATATTTTCATCAAACAGACGGAACTGTATTGCCTGCCCATATGGCTATGATTGATTGCAAATTGGGGGTGTTTTCCGAGCCGAGCCGAGTAGTTTGTTTCGAGCTCGGTTCGTTTGAGCTGGTGAAAGTTTGGCTTGTTTAGTATACTTAAATTCCTGTATGAGCTGTCTGCGAACAAGCTCAGCTTGGCTCGGCCTGGCCAGCTTGTTTAATAAACGAGCTCGATTAGTTGTTCGCGCTCTGCTAAGTACACAAATGAGTCGAGCTTGAGCTTTTGCTAGTCGAAACGAGTTGTGTTTGCAAATTGTTCGGTTTGTTTAATAGCTCTTAATGCACAGTCATGGTACATACTAATGATGAATGGTTTGTAGTTTAACTTTGTTTCAGGTAAAATTAATAAATGTAAATCAACTATTTTTTGGTCATACATGTTGGTATATGTGTCCTAGAGACAATCATTTTAAGGACATATATACATGATCACATTAATAATTATATTAGATTATAATTATGGTATTGCAATTAATTAAATAATTGTTTGATTGTTTGCAATTTATTAATTAATTGCTCCCTTGAGTTAATACTGTCATTAGCAGAGTGAGATGTTAATTGATGAAGTATAACTCTCAAATCGCCTCAATCGATGATCATTAAGAAAAGGATATTAATGATACGCGATAGATTGACATGTGGTCTGCATCACATTCTTCGAGAATATAGTATGTCTCACTGCTATGAATAATTGTTATTCGTGATGGACACATGGATACTTTGGAGAGTATTGGCATACCCTACCGATAAACCATTTGTTTATGTGTCTATGGGAGTATCGGTGTGTGGAATGGTGTAATAGTCCTTTGACTTGAGGTCAATACGCAATTCATGTATAGAGTGATTTACTTAGACCTAGTCCAACGCTTACGCCCTTATGGGTAGATACGGGCTTGTGTTGGGTAGATCACGATATACATGGAATTGGTAGTTGAGCCAAGATAGGATTCATTCCTCGAATATAGTTTCGAGAGAACACTCGTTTTCTCTATACTGGGTTGA